AAAAATAAGAGAAGTGGAAGAGAATCAATGCGAAACCACCCTCCAGTCGTTTTCGGAACCCAGGCAGAATATGTGAACGCTTCGTTCAGAATCCGCTTGATGCCGCTCCAAGTAATTCTCGAAAGAATCGAGATACGATTCAACCAACCAAACGGCCCTAAAGTTACACAGACATGGCGTAGATTTTGGCGGGCATCAAATTTCACACAAGATCTGAACCTATGAAGGACACCGGCCACATGATTTTTCACAAATACTTTCTCCACAAAGTTAGAGATTTTGGCTTAGGACAAATACTTTCTCCACAAATGGACACTAGCCACATAGAGGTTGCAACGGCACATCACATGCAAAAGTGGGCCAAAGTATATGTGGATGATGTGTTGACAACTTGACATCTGTACGGTAAACTCTACTATCTTTGTCGCATTGTTTATGCGTCGATCGAGGGCCTGCTTTGGTTTCCATTGATCTGAAAACCAAAGACTTATAAGTCATGCTTGTTTGGTTGTAGATGACTTATAAGCTCATTAAAGGTGTGGGTCCCACGCGAAAAAAGGGTGACTTATAAGTTTTAAGCGGGGTGAACCAACTTAAAACTTATAAGCAGGGGTGACTTATAAGTTGGTGGTGTTTGGCAAAATAAGTCACTTATTTCACTTTTTAACTTATAAGTAGGTGACTTATTTGAAACCAAACAGGCCCTGAGATTGCAAGCAAAGAGCATCCGAGTTGGTCTTTTCCATGTGACATCGAGATTGTCTGATTCTCCTATGTGAGATTATGTTTTCTATTAGTTTCGCTTGGGTTTCTTATGGAACAAATGTCCTCTTCAATGGTCATCCTATTGGTTCAGAGGAAAAGGCTTTCAAAATCAATATAGGTAGATAGAGACAAACCTCCTTCAAAGAGCTTCAAATTTACGTATTGTGTCATTTGACTTGGTTACAAGTTACAACCAAACAATATTATCCTTCTTCAAAACGAAAAAAAAGATTATTTTTTCTAAAAAAAAGATCATTTCTCCTGGTTCAATTTACAAAACAGCACATGGCAAGTGCCCTTGTCTCCTTTACAACTTTTTAGATAAAAGGACAAAATTCCAGCTCCATACATCATCTTCCAAAGATGCATGAGAGTACGAGACCACACCTACTAGATTGATTTATTTACCGTTACTAATAGAGCAAATGTTCCGAGCTGCATTAAAATGCACAAACACATCATCTACTAGTGTAAACTAGAAGAAATTAATACAAAGGGAAAAGAGAAACTAAAACAAAAGAAAACTAGTAGAAAGCTCGAGTAATCATCCTTTGTGGCAAGTTTCGTAATGTTGATCGAAGGTGTTCCTTTTAATGTATTTGGTAGGGATTCAGATTCGGATAGAAACATTTAAGATCCAGAGTCTTTCAAGAAACCTTTTAGGAGATGAATCGAATCATTTCGTGAAATCATTTGGTTGGTAGGCTAGATTCTCATAGCGCGCACAAAAAATAAGAGAAGTGGAAGAGAATCAATGCGAAACCACCCTCCAGTCGTTTTCGGAACCCAGGCAGAATATGTGAACGTTTCGTTCGTAATCCGTTTGATGCCGTTCCAAGTAATTCTCGAAAGAATCAGATACGATTCAACCAACCAAACGGCCCCTAAAGTTACACAGACATGGCAGAGATTTTGGCGGGCATCAAATTTCACACAAGATCTGAACCTATGAAGGACACTGGCCACATGATTTTTCACAAATACTTTCTCCACAGCAGAGATTTTGGCTTAGGACAAATACTTTCTCCACAGCGGACACTAGCCACATAGAGGTTGCAACGGCACATCACATGCAAAAGTGGGCCAAAGTATATGTGGATGATGTGTTGACAACTTGACATCTGCCGGTAAACTCTACTATCTTTGTCGCATTGTTTATGCGTCGACTGAGGGCCTGTTTGGTTTCCATTGACTGAAAACCAGTGACTTATAAGTCATGCTTGTTTGGTTGTAGATGACTTATAAGCTCATTAAAGGTGTGGGTCCCACGCGAAAAAGGGTGACTTATAAGTTTTAAGCAGGGGTGAACCAACTTAAAACTTATAAGCAGGGGTGACTTATAAGTTGGTGGTGTTTGGCAAAATAAGTCACTTATTTCACTTTTTAACTTATAAGTAGGTGACTTATTTGAAACCAAACAGGCCCTGAGATTGCAAGCAAAGAGCATCCGAGTTGGTCTTTTCCATGTGACATCGAGATTGTCTGATTCTCCTATGTGAGATTATGTTTTCTATTAGTTTCGCTTGGGTTTCTTATGGAACAAATGTCCTCTTCAATGGTCATCCTATTGGTTCAGAGGAAAAGGCTTTCAAAATCAATATAGGTAGATAGAGACAAACCTCCTTCAGCAGTTCAGCCTACGTAACAGGTCATTTGACTTGGTTACAAGTTACAACCAAACAATATTATCTTTCTTCAAAACGAAAAAAAAGATTATTTTTTCTAAAAAAAAGATCATTTCTCCTGGTTCAATTTACAAAACAGCACATGGCAAGTGCCCTTGTCTCCTTTACAACTTTTTAGATAAAGGACAAAATTCCAGCTCCATACATCATCTTCCAAAGATGCATGAGAGTACGAGACCACACCTACTAGATTGATTTATTTACCGTTACTAATAGAGCAAATGTTCCGAGCTGCATTAAAATGCACAAACACATCATCTACTAGTGTAAACTAGAATAAATTAATACAAAGGGAAAAGAGAAACTAAAACAAAAGAAAACTAGTAGAAAGCTCGAGTAATCATCCTTTGTGGCAAGTTTCGTAATGTTGATCGAAGGTGTTCCTTTTAATGTATTTGGTAGGGATTCAGATTCGGATAGAAACATTTAAGATCCAGAGTCTTTCAAGAAACCTTTTAGGAGATGAATCGAATCATTTCGTGAAATCATTTGGTTGGTAGGCTAGATTCTCATAGCGCGCACAAAAAATAAGAGAAGTGGAAGAGAATCAATGCGAAACCACCCTCCAGTCGTTTTCGGAACCCAGGCAGAATATGTGAACGTTTCGTTCGTAATCCGTTTGATGCCGTTCCAAGTAATTCTCGAAAGAATCAGATACGATTCAACCAACCAAACGGCCCCTAAAGTTACACAGACATGGCAGAGATTTTGGCGGGCATCAAATTTCACACAAGATCTGAACCTATGAAGGACACTGGCCACATGATTTTTCACAAATACTTTCTCCACAGCAGAGATTTTGGCTTAGGACAAATACTTTCTCCACAGCGGACACTAGCCACATAGAGGTTGCAACGGCACATCACATGCAAAAGTGGGCCAAAGTATATGTGGATGATGTGTTGACAACTTGACATCTGCCGGTAAACTCTACTATCTTTGTTTGATAAAAGCTGGAAAGGATCAGTTAACTGCCTATACTTGCAGGGCATCGCTTTGATTGGGCGAGTCGAGGGTGAGTGAGAGCCAGGGATCGCTACGGAAATTTGAGGCATCCGAACATGTGCTCGATCGAATGGACTAACTCATCAGGCCGAGGTCGTTTGCAGTTGCAGCAGCCCATATTCATGTTCATGTTCATGTTCTGATGGATGTGTCTTCAGAGAATCGTGAGCAAATTTTAACCTGATTCGACTCGACACTGGAAGCCTGCCGGTGCCGGATGAGGGTGTGGCAGTAAATTTTAACCCGGACAATTGTCTCATGTAACGTAAATCGACTCATCATGACGCTGTCCTGTGTTACAGTTACTACTACAAGGATGGTGAAAGTAAATGCCCATTTCGCCCCTGATGGCTGACGACTGTAGATCCACTGCTCACTACGGTCCTCGTCACCCACCACCCCGGGGATAGAACGGTCCACGGAACATTTCGTGCGGTGGCCGCTGTTGGGCGTCCTATGCCTATGGATTCGATTCGGTTCGCCGTCCATGGCGTGGGGAAGATATGATACGCTGCTGAGCTGATGCTGATCACAAGGTCACCACGTACAAGCACGAGACGCTGCCGTTCCACTGCACTGTTTGTCCACACAAGCGGATAAGGGCGGCAACTGCAGCAGCCGGCGCGGGCCGTGCAGCGAGGGGGAGAGGACCGCTTCCCTGGCGGGCCGCACGGTCCGGAAGATTAAAGGGCATGCAGAGGGTTAAGCTTACTGCTAAACAACTTAGCCGTATATGCAGATGCAGGGTAAACGGCATGATAAAAAGGCAGCCAAGGTCCCAAGGAGCATGGCATCATGGCAGGTGAGAGGTATCAGGGGAACAGTTGACTTGTAAACTGTAAATTAACCAATGGCAATGTATGCACCACTGACTGTAACAAGTGTTTAGAAAGCAGGGGGGGCAGCTCTGACAGCCTGATATGCATGCATGGCTTAAAGAAAGAAAGGGCATGGGCATTCGAGTCCCTTTCTAGGCCGCCGGGGGACTTTGTTTCTTCCTGGGCCTTTTTGGATGCTCTCTGAGGTCTGAGAAGGTAAAACAAAGGTTTGAAAGGAGGATGAGTAGTGTGCAGTGCGGCAGTGTCCCCATCGACCGTGCCTGATCCGGCCCACATGTGGTGATCTAGCCACGCTTCCAATTGCTGTGGAAGGATCTTGAAGAAGAGGCCTCCAAGATGCAGGAAGCTGCACCATAATAAAATATTCAATTATTGAATAAAAGAAAGAGATTAAGTGTGGTACAATGACAGGTTAATCAAACGTAAGAAGCTAACAATCATGTAACTGATATACCTGCACTGTTCCAAATTCTTCAGAGCTTTCGTCCACCGGAGAACCAACAAAGTCAAATGATAAGCACTTTAATGCAAGGTCAAGAGATTTTGTGAACGTTTGGACCTTATCGTCCTCAGAGTCCCAATCACTGTCCCCGTCTCTGCAGACTGCAGCGTTCCTAATTCCTATCCCAAATAGTTAAATCAGCACGACTAATCGACGATCAGCAGCCGGGGACATTGTCCATGCAACCTCGCCGTCACAACTCCCATGTCGTCGGCTCCGAAGCTAGACTCTGTTGAGCCACACCCTCTGTCTTCCGGCCGTGGTCCAGCAGTTGTCAGCACAGACTCGGCGATGCCGCACTTCGTGCTGGTGCCTATGCTGGCCGCAGGCCACGCCGGCCCGATGCTCGACATGGCCCGCGCTCTGGCAGGCCGAGGCGCGGTCGTCACGTTCGTCACCACGCCGCTCAACCTGCCACGCCTCGGCCGCGGCCCCGGCGATGACGCGCTCCCCATCCGCTTCCTCCCTCTCCGCTTCCCGTGCGCCGAGGCCGGTCTACCGGAGGGCTGCGAGAGTCCCGACGCGCTCCCGAGCCTCGCCTTCCTCAAGAACTTCCACGACGCCTGCGCCATGCTCCGGGCGCCGCTCGTTGCGCACCTCAGGGAGACCGACCCGCCGGCGAGCGGCCTCGTTTCCGACACCTGCCACCCGTGGACCGGCGCAGTGGCGCGGGAGCTCGGCGTGCCGCGGCTGGCGCTGGAGACCTTCTGCGCCTTCTCCTCGTTCTGCATGCGCCAGATGAGCGTCCACAGCGTCTTCGAGGGAATCAGCGACGACAGGCGCCCCGTGCGCGTCCCTGGCTTCCCCATACACGTCGAGATGTCCAGAGCGCGGTCGCCGGGAAACTTCTCGGGTTTTGGCAAGGTGTTCGCCGACGAGGTCATGGCGGAAAACGCGAGAGCCGACGGCCTAGTGGTGAACAGCTTCGCGGAGCTCGAGCCCCTCTTCGTTGATGCCTATAAAGCGGCGCTCGGCAAGAAGATATGGACCGTCGGGCCTCTCTTCCTCCAGCACAACATGCCGTCGACGGCGACCTCTGACTCTGATGACGTGACCGCCGTCCGCTGCATGAGCTGGCTCGAGTCCAAGAAGCCCCGATCCGTAGTGCTCGTGAGCTTCGGCAGCCTGGCGCGCTCGTCGCAGCCGCAGCTCGTGGAGATCGCGCACGGGCTGGAGGCGAGCAACCGGCCGTTCATCTGGGCGGTGAAGCCCGCCAGCCTCGCCGAGTTCGAGAGGTGGCTGTCCGACGACGGCTTCGAGCGCCGCGTCGGGGACAGGGGGCTCGTGGTCACGGGTTGGGCGCCGCAGAAGGCGACCCTGTCGCACCCGGCCACGGGCGCCTTCGTGACGCACTGCGGCTGGAACTCCGTGCTGGAGTGCGTCGCGGCGGGGCTGCCGATGGCGACGTGGCCGCACTTCGCGGAGCAGTTCATCAACGAGAAGCTCGTGGTGGACGTGCTGCGGGTCGGTGTGCCCGTGGGCGTGAAGGACGCGGCGCAGTGGGGCGTGGTGGAGACGGAGGCCGTGGTGGCGACGCGGGAGGACGTGGAGAGGGCCGTGGCGGCGGTGATGGACGGCGGGGAGGAGGGCTCCGCGCGCCGGGCAAGGGCTGCCGAGCTCGGCAGGAAGGCAAGGGACGCCGTGGCGCGTGGCGGCTCGTCGGACCGGAACGTGGCGCTTCTGATGGAGCACGTTGAGCAGATGAAGTCCACCATGTGAGGTGGACAAGAATTTTTATCACTACGGTTGCTAATGTGGTGCTAGCATTATTACACGCACGTTTATCTCTCGAGAATTGCTCGTTTTCCTTTTTGGCCATGGATTTCTACTTTCCTAGTGCTTGACGTGTTGGATGAGGAGCGCCACGTTCCGGTACGACGACCCACCGTGCGCCACGGCCTCCCGAGCCTTCCTGCCGAGCTCGGCGGCCCTTGCCCGGCGCGCGGAGGCCTCCTCCCCGCAGTCCATCACCTCCGCCACGGCCCTCTCCACGTCCTGCCTCGTCGCAGCCACGCCCTCCGTCTCCACGCCCCACTGCGCGGCGTCCTTGACGCCGACGGGCACGCCGACCTGCAGCACGTCCACCACGAGCTTCTCGTTCATGAACTGCTCCGCGAAGTGCGGCCACGTCACCATCGGCAGCCCCGCCGCGACGCACTCCAGCACGGAGTTCCAGCCGCAGTGCGTGACGAAGGCGCCCGTCGCCGGGTGCGACAGGATCGCCTTCTGCGGTGCCCAGTCCCTGATCACCAGGCCCATCTCCCCGACGCGGGACTCGAAGCCGTCCTCGGACAGCCACTGCTCGAACTCGGCGGGATTGCCGGGCTTGACCACCCAGATGAACGGTCGCTTGGTCGCCTCGATGCCGTGCCCAATTTCGACGAGCTGCGGCAGCGACGAGCGCACCAGGCTGCCGAAGCTCACGAACACCATCGACCGGGGCTTCTTGGACTCGAGCCAGCTCGCGCACCGGACGGCGTTCGCGTCCTCTGTCATCGCCGGCGGCGGCGGCATGGTGGTGGGGGTCAGGAAGAGAGGCCCAACGGTCCATATCTTCTTGCCGATGGCGGCCTCGTAGGCGTCAAGAAACATGGGCTCGAGCTCCGCGAAGCTGTTCACCACCAGGCCGTCGGCTCTCGCGCTCTCGGCCATGATCTCCTCGCCGAACTCCTTCATGCCGGGACCCGTGAAGTTTCCTGGCGACCGTGCCCTCGATATCTGGACGTCTATGGGGAAGCCAGGGACGCGCACGGAGCGCCTGTCGTCGTCGACGCCGTCGAAGATCCTGTGGAGATTCATCTGGCGCATGCAGAAGGAGGAGAAGGCGCAGAACCCGTCGAACGAGAACCGCGGCACGCCGAGCTCCCTCGCCACCCAGCCCATCCACGGGTGGCAGGCGTCGGAGACGACGCAGCTCGCCGGCGGGGTGTCGCCGCCCTCCCTGTCGTCCCGGAGGCGCGTGACGAGCGGACCGCGGAGCATGGCGCAGGCGTCGTTGAAGTTGCTGAGGAGGCCGAGGCCCGGCAGCGCGTCGAGGCTCTCGCAGTCCTCGGGGAGGCCGGCCTCGGCGCAGGGGAAGCGGAGCGGGAGGAAGCGGATGGGGAGCGCGTCGTCGCTGGGGGCGCGGCCGAGGCGGGGCAGGTTCAGGGGCGTCGTCACGAACGTGACGAGCGCGCCGCGGCGGGACAGGGTGCGGGCCATGTCGAGCATCGGGCCGGCGTGGCCAGCGGCCATCATCGGCACCAGCACGAAGTGCGGCGCCGAGTCAGCGCCAGCCACGGCGGCCGCACTTCCCGACGACATGGCAGACGACCGGGCGCGTAACTTGTTGACGGGGTGTAGGGAGTCGTTCTCGGTTTTGAACTTTTGTCACTGTGTGGATAGAGGGTGGGCTGCTTGTGTTGTCGTGCAAGCTCCAGTGCTCCTAAATGGTCGTCGTACGAGAAGTGTATTGTTTATGCGCGCGAGTCCAAAATTGTTGGCGTTGGATTGGGTAGATTTTAACGCACGAGAAGTGTATTTTATCACTTGATGAAAACAGTCACGGTGAGTATTGGTGTGGCATGTTCCATTCAGAATTCCTCTGTCCAATCGTACAACGAGGCATACATACCAATTAGCAGGTACCCCCGTCCTTCGCACAGGCTAGCAAGCCGGAATTATAGCACATCATATGACTATACATGGGGAAAAAAGATTAGTAACATTAGTTACAGATGGGTTGTCATTTGAGTATTTGAGCCCTTCGTAGAATATTGTTAGCATAGTACATGGCTGTTTCAGCAGAATAGTGTTAGCATAGCAAAAGGGGTGACATCGAGATACCAGAGAGGTCTGGCCTGGCCTGTGAGTCCTTGTCGCGCCGGCATGGGTGGCGCGACAAGCGCCAGCCTTGTCCCGCCTCTTTGGTTGGCACGACAATCATTTGCACAGTATTCCGTGATGGCTGTCGCGCCACCCTTGCTGGCGCGACAGGCCTGGAAATGATTTTTTTTTATTTCTTTCACACTTCTTAACACATAAGTACAATTGAGACATATACATAGCATATAACGGTTCATAGATGCTCAACATGGGTGACAAGTTCACAAATGACCAACATATCATATAACATCAAGTCCACATAGTTCATACACGACGATAGTTCACAAAGTCCACATAGTTCACATAGTTCACAAGCCATTGACAAAGTCCAGTTCACAAGTCATCGACAAAGTCCAAATGAGCACATAGTCGACATAGTTGTTCCATGACGAACATAGGCAACAAAAAAAGGACATAGCTCACAAAGCATGCTTGAGATGAATTAGTTAGGCGTGAAGGGCTCTCGAGGACGACGCAGTCGGCCTGGATGTGTCGGTTGGAGATTAGGAGTGCCGACGTCGGAGCGGTCACAGGCACGTCCTCACACGTTTCGTCCTTGACCTCGTCGCGGGCGATGGGACGAACTCTACACAAGACATATACAATATACATGTCAAACAAGTAACATGAGGAAATAGTAAAGTGGCGGTCATTTTCACAAAATATCAATGATGTTGGCCATCCACTATCATGAACACTCATGGGTTAGTATAAGATTACACAATAAGCACTTTATGACCAAGTGGATTACCATTTGTATTGCTTAACATACTTCTAGCAGATAAACAACCACATGACCAACTTTATTTCAAGGGCATAGTTGAACTGTTGAATCCACACCCTTATAACAACCTCATGTACTACTTGGTAATGACACACGCACCTGAGTTTGTGTACCCTGAGGAGCATCAGCAAGTTGGGAACCCGTCAGCTCGTCTTGGTCATATGTTGGATCATTGATGTCATCATCATCTCCATCGTCGTCGTCTTCGTCATCCCTACATCTTGCACGGGAGCTCTCCGCACTGTCAATTGTTGCCCTTTGGCTTGTACGGGTTTGTCGTCCTTGGGATGAGGGAGCTGGCACTTGTACATCTTCGGCTCGCATGCAACTCAACTTGCGAGCCATCCGTCGACAAGATGTCAACACCTTCTGCAACCATGGTCATGTGAAATGAGAAGTGGTTACATATCGCTCTGGGTATAGTTGAAATACATAGGCATAGGGGTATTACCTTGGTAAATTCTTCAAGGTATGAATTCTCAATCCCTCTTGCACGTCCAAGGTAAACTACGACCTCATTAGAAAGGTGAGCTAGCTGATTTGCCTAGAGTACATTCATAATCATCATTACCACGTACTTTTCAAGTGAAGCTGCGTCAAGGCATAGTTCAAATGAAATGCTTACCATGTAGTTCTCAAGTGGCGCTCTCTCCGGCTGCACGCTCGTCCTTGTCATGACATCATAGGGGTCGTCATCGTTGCTCCCTTCTTCATCTATTGGAATGCTGGACAGCGGTGGATGCACACTGATTCTTGTGGACCTGTGAAGCCATGCCAGGTACGCACAGTAGTCATTGGTCACACAGTGAGCCCCATTATCCGGTTCCACCCTCTCTCTAGCTTCCCACTCTTGCACGTACTTTTGATGCTTTAGAAGCCAGTCGTTGCCGCTAAACCTTTTCCTCCACATCTGTTTGATTCTAACCAGTTTGTTTCTTTCTTCTTCTTCCTCTTCCCTTTTTATATTTTGTACTACAGAGTATAGCGTGATGGTAAGTGTAGCCCTGTTGTACTAGAGAGACACAGAGTGGTGGCAAAGGGCACACGGTACCAGCAGGCAGTAGGTGAGTTTTCTCGTGCGTTTGAATGAAATTGAACTGCTGATGTTTTCTCTTTTCACCGGTGAATTGAGAATCGACACTTCATCAAACAGGCGAGGTAGGACGGACATGCATGCAGAGAGTGGCAGGAGGAGGATGAAGGAATATGCTCGTCACCTAGCCGTGACAAACAAACCCTCTCCCTTTTTTCTCCTGCAATCTATTTCGTCTGCAAAGGCCACGTTGCCCCTGCCCTTGCCAGGTCCAGGTCCAGGTCCAGCGCGTGGCCGGTTCGCCCATCTCCGATTTGTCCTCACGTGGTGCGCATCCGTGTGCGTACGTGCACGCAGACAGCCGGGCGGGGGATGATGTGCATGTGCTCGGGCCTGGGCACGCCAATGCCAGAACGGGCCGGGGCCGGGGGGCGGCCGTGCGCATGAAGCATGATAGATACAGAGCTGATGCCACGGTGGCACGATCCATTCAGGGCGACTAAACAGGAGTACATATGCCGATCAGCAGCTGTGTGCCTAACTGCCTACTGCTAGTGGTAGGATTATTAAGGGCAAGACGGCTGTTCGGCTGGCTCATTGTCCGCTGGCTGGCTGGCTTATTCTCTTACGAAATCACTGTTCACGTCCTGTCAGAACAGTATTTTTCTCTCATAACAATTAGTCAGAACAGTATTTTTCAGTCCTGCCGAACAGGCCCGTGAGTTAAACTGTCAACCAAACTAGTAGGCCGGCCAGTAGAGTTTAGAAATCACAATGGCGAGCGGTGCCTGGTCCAGTATCTCAGTCTCAGCTAAGCTAGCTACGTTCGTAGTACCTACAGCATGGGGCAGTGCACTGCACCACACTACCGTCGCCACTGGACCGCTTCCTTCATTGCAGATTTAGATGAGTGAATCAGTGAAAGCATGCTGGGTGAACGTATTGGTCTAAAAAAATAGTGTTTGATTGGTTGTTTGGACGATGCGGTAATAATCCTATATCTATGTATATGCAACAGACTTGTGAAGACGTTTAGTTGCCGCCGGATGATGATGTGCGGGGCCAGCATGCGATGCATTATATATCCATTAGTATAGTGCCCGTGCTAACGCCACGGCTTCATTTAGGGATATATATAAAAACAACCGTCATATATTGGAAAATGAAATGGAAAGAATCAGTTCATTTTCAGAGAAATAGTATAATGCCCGTGCTAATGCTACGGTAATATATAACCATTCAAATAACCAAAAGGCATATATGCCTTCCGTTAAGCATCACGGAGATATATTTACGATTCACGAAAATTAAATCGTATATTTATGATTCACGGAAAAAAGTAAAAAGGAAGTCCATCTCACAGATCAAAATATGAACAATAACATTTTTTTAGTGGTCACATCTATAATAAAGCATTTTCATTTGTCAAAAACACTTCTTTACAATTCTAGTGTCGGATGCATCACATGTGAAGATCAACACGTAAAGAAATATAATATCCCAAGAACTTACCTACCATCTATGTAACAGAAGTATAGGAGGACTTAAGTTGATCCAAGAGAATACAACATCAGATGCTATTGTTCTAGAAATCAAATGACAATTGAAGTAGCAGGAGTATCATACTACTTTTTTAATGGTGGTATATATTTCTTTTTATAAAGCAGGATCACACTATTCAGAAACAGAGCCTTCATGTCGTTTATCTCTCAGATCTGGCAGAATTAAAATTAATTGTATATCACACTATTTTAGAAACAGAGCCTTCAATGCCCATGCATGCTAACTCCAGACAAGGAGAAAACGGGCATGCTAATGGACTAATCTGGTGGGAAAATGTACTATCGTTACATCTTGATTGCATAGTCATCATTTTCCTTCCTCCTCATCCTTCAAATCGTTGATCCTTCCTTTGCTCAATTCATAGATCAGCAGCGCCCATTGCTGGATCCACTCCCACCACCCCTTGTCACTCCATTACCTCGGAGGCTTGAACTGGAGTCTAAATTTTTTTTTCCAAAAGAAAATATGTTGATATATAAGCAAAGCGAAGTTGTGAAAGGCAACCAAAGTAATAAATTTTCCCTGAATATGCAGAAACCTCACCAAACATTATTGACCAAGGTATCCTGAAAATGGTTCCAAACACAAGGAGCCAACCTGAATAGGTACATAGTTTGGTTGAAAGAAAGGAAACAATATAAGATGCTTCAAAATTAGAGCTGTTAAATCAACGAATAAGAAAGGCACCATCTGCCATTTCATTGGTCTAAAAATTTAATTTATCATTGTCAAGACAAAAAGAGGTTTCAAGGTTCGAAATTTCTTGTCCGGTGCATCATTATTTGTAGTTATTTTCAAGCCAAAACCATTACATACAGAAGGTTACACTTTTGTTACCTTTAAGACACAATTTCATCCCATTTCAGAAAACTGGAAAGAGAAACATGGAAAAAATTCATCCTTGCTCTTAGTGTTTGACATCTCTTAGATAAACAAAAGTTCAACCTTCCACCGACTTCAAATGATCGAAATTTGGCAAAGTAGATCGAGAAGATCAAAAGCAGAGAGGAGGAGTATCTGCCTCAAGAGAGGGGTTGGGAAAAAACTATGAAATCCAAA